GAACCTGATCGCACTGGCGGCTGATACGCTCGACAGCGTGGCGAAGAACACGGCGGTGAGGGGATCTTTAGGGGCACAGAAAGGCTTGGGTTCTCCCCGGCTGGTCCCTGCGTGTGATGTACTGAAAATTTCAAGGCTCCGAGAGAATTCGCGTTTGCAATAAGGATGCTTTTGGTCCAGGGGCGACTCGTCTCGGGGCAGCTGGCTGCAAGTTGTGCTGATGAGGCCGGGGCGGCAAAACGGCGATGCGAAGCTCGGAGGATGACTGTTATGTCATCCTGTGTGACGATGCGAATTTGTTTGACGCGCAACCGGGCACCAGAAGAAGGGTGTGCCTCTTGCACTGCGATATAATGGGGATCGCGACACTCTCCGCAGCAGTCTATTGCAAAAGGAAGCTATTAGAGTCTCAGGCCATGGGAAGGGTAACAAGAATATGCAGTCAGGATTGCGAGCATGATGAGGTCACATAAGTTCATGCTCTGAATGCTGAGGCGTGCTTGGTGCAAGTGGTGTCTTTGAATCCTTCATCGTTTACATTTGTCCTCACATGCCTTATGTTCGTCACCCATTCATTGCCAGCTTTCGCGAAAAGCACGAAAGCGCACCGCAGTCGTTGCAGCGGATAGGATCCGAGCATTTAAATTTCCATGGGAGGGGTGGATGGCGGTGAGGTGGTAGTGAATCGGGCGGAAGCCCCACTGATCGAACACTGAGCCTTTGAGCTGCAGCTGTTGCGCGGCAAGGGACGTTTTCTGTCATGCGTTTCGCTTCATATTTCGAAAATCGAAATCAAGTTAAGCGTATGCCATATTCGCAAGACGCATCCACGCTGTTGTGTTTCCTCGAGATCTGCATAGCTGCGAGTCTCAGAGGTAGAGAGCCGATGCTTAACTGCGCCACTCACAATTACAGAAATGGTGCAGCCGCGGCGGCATCAGTGTTCCCGCTGTAAACCTGCCGACACCCTTTGCCGTATTCGCAGGCTCGAGCCTTTTTAGTCAAGTCGCTGTCGTCCATCTCCTCTTGGGACACTGTGTGCTCGACAATTGGGAGCCTTCTGGTGAAGTGCAAAAAGGACAAGATCCGGAGCTCCCTTGCGAGCTTCTTGAGTAGCGCTCTCACCGGGGTATGCCAAAATCTGTTTGTGGTTGCACAAGGGCACGTTCCTTGTGTGGATACAATCAACTAACACAATCATTGACACACATGCAAGCAGCAAACACGCCTCTTCAGAGGCCCTTGGCGTCTGCCGCCATGGACCAGTTGTATTTTGACATCCATCGGCATGACTAGATGGCTCAATTCGACTGCAACTGACGCGCATACATTTCTTTGTCAGGCACCATAATAAATCCATGTGCACGCTCGTTCCTGCCGTCAATCCATGCATTTCCCTGGGAAACATCGAACATCAATGTGTGTGCGTTGACCATCAATGATCGATGTTGATGCATCAATGAGTCTGGCGCTTGGGTCTCTTTGAACGCCTTTTGTGCTGTAGGCTGCATTCGCCTCGAATGGGAGCCTGATACGGATTTGGTGTGTGGGAAGTGGTGCAGCGTGAGGACCTCCAAATGATCGCCGGAATCTGCGGATTGGTAGAAATTCTCGCCCTTGTGCTGCAGGAGGCTAAGACGGAAAAGGCCATTACGGTGAGAAACAACGCATTATGCTTGCATGCAGCACCCAACCGTCAGTTGTTGGGATGACGAGGCATGTGCATATTGCGGCACTGTATCTATGAATGCAGAGGTAGCTTCGACGAAAGCGCACTGGTAACGACACCAATGCGCTGGAAGGGGGAATAAGGTGACAATATTCGCTATCTTCGCGACCGTCCCGAAGATAAGAGCAACCTGAACCTCTGGTCAGCACAGCATATCTGGAACAGCAGTGTTCTGTTTTACATATGATCAACAGCGCTATATAGCGATATCTTGTATACAGGACATGTTCTAAGAGTCACGCACAGTGATGGGTTGTGGATATGCACACTGATTGAAGGCACACTGATTTACACCAATTTTGCAGCAGGGCATGGCGACAATCACTGATGCAGGTCCATGCCTTTGTCTTTCCCTGATTTAAAATCTGCTGAACAGGCAAAGCAATCTGGCCCTAAATTGCCATTAATGCCCTTGGATCATCATCCTAAACCGTCCTCAACCAGCAAGCTTGCGAGGATCCCCACATACAACACTAGGAAAAAAGGGCCAAATAACGCGTGTTCAAACGTGTACAAAGTTTACGAGTTTGTGCTATTTTGTTGTTCACAGCGTGCAGAACGTTGATGAAATGTGCTTTACGTGTGTTCGCAAAGTGTTATTTGGCCCTTTTTTTCTGGTGCAATGAATCCTGTGCTGGGTGCCCAGATGTATCCTTACATCAGTGAACGCACTGAAATTTAATTCGCCCTCTTCATTCCCGTGCTAGGCTGCCACCATGTGCCTTTCGCGAATGATGGAGAACGAAGAAAATTGGTGTCGCCTCCACGATGCGAATGGTGTCACTCTCCTGTGCGACGCTCTGGGTCCCCCTCCGGCATTCGTTAGAAGCCCTTCCGGCGCGGACATTCACGCCCCTTCGGCCCATAATGCCTCCGCCATTCCCGAGGGCGCTCAAACTCCAAATAATATTCCAGTACAAGTGCGTTTTCGCCCCTTGGTTTGAACACAGCTTCGGGCGTCTGTGGTGGCGTGACGACAAGTATACATTACCCAACTCATGTAATGCGATGCCATTTGCAAAAAATTGGAGAGGATAGTGTGAATCCCTTGATTCCGTTGCCTTTTGTGTACGGAAGTCTACTTGGCGATGTTTCCAGTGTGCACCTTCCAGGTGCCCCAATAGGGCGGGATTCGGAGAACTTGGGGAGCCAAACACAGCCAAAGCTTGGCATTCCATTCACCGTGAGTATCTGCTCGGATTGTGTCAAGCTTATCTTGATCGCCGGGGGAGCAGAAGACCGCAGTGTTCAGCTGAATGACCCCATCAAGCAGTCCAAGGTACATATTTCAGCTTCCCCATGTTCGCAAGGGATTGAATTTTCGAATTTCGAAGCTTTGGCATGCTTTTGGCAGCCACGCGTGAGCGAGTTTTGATGGGATGCAGGCGGGAAAACCAAAGAGGGGGCCGGCACTGCGCGTCGAAATACCAGGAGGCAACGACGAGGTCAACCAGCGAGATGGCAAGGTGGGTGGTTTGGTTGCATGACGTTTGAGCATCTCCATCCGCACCACATCAGAAAGTGCAATCGCCGTATGGACATGTTGCATGTCGTCACGGATTTCACTTGCAGTTCTTCCGGCGCTCACGAATTGGGACAATGCACGGGATCTCCTCCCATCCCGACTCTCTACTCCCCCCCACCCCCCACCCCCCACCACCACACACACGCACACACACACACACACACACGCAATCTTTCGTCAATTTGACGCTGGACGTGCTAAAATCGAGACTGTGTCGTCCCTAACAGCCAGCAGACAACTTAAGGACGATTTTAAGCGAAACTGGCAGCAGCATTTGGCTGACGGCTGCACTGGGCTCCGAATGGCCGACAGGATGATGCCGATGGCTCGTCGCCGCGACACCCAAAAGACGAAGGCGGCTTCCCGTCCCTTGGGAAGTCGAGCCTGAGCATGCCCTGGGTGGCAATTCGATCCCCGGTGCCCATGACGCACGCAGCGGGGTGCCTGTACAAGCTGGCGCAACGGGAGGAGTATTGCAGCATCATGAGCGAGCGGCTGTCTGTCCACAGGCTGGTCCCAGGGCTCCTGAGCATCATGGCGGACGCCGCAGGAAATGCAGGTACATCGGGACAATGGCCAGCAATCTCTGCGAAAGTTCGGACCCAAAACTTCGCCTGAATCTTTTCAGCTGAAACTGGAAGGAAGCTGCTGTGGGCGAAAGCGACGGACAACAAATGTGTGCAGGAAAAGATCAGACTGCGAACAGGAGGCAGCAACTCATGCTGCATGCGGGTGACAATTCAAAATTCCCTGGAGGCCACGGCTGCGGCCGGGCTCCCATCTTCCGCTGGCGAGCCTTGCGAGCCCATGGATGCATTGCTGGGCATGGGCATTCATTGCAGCAACAAGGACAGTCGGTGCAAGCATCACTAGGGGGCGGCCTCCCTTCGTGGGGTCGCCCACTTGACTGCATGCTGCCGCGCCTGTGTTGAGCAGTTCCTCATGTTCTACATTTGTTTACTGCGAAATTGGCGGAATCGCAGCCGTTAACCATTTCTCCAATGGCTGCACATTCAGGAAAGAAGGGCAAGGGAAAGAAGGGACTGAAGCTCGAGCCCGAGCAGGAGACAGCCCTTGTGAACATCACAGGCTGCTTGAAGTTCCTGTCCACATCCAACGTGGACCGATTTCGGATTGTGAAACTGGGCGCCGTGCCCAACCTGGTGACGCTGCACGGCAGCGCGGAAAGGCTGCTGCTCCGGAGGAACGCACAAGTCACGCTCACCAACGTCGCAATGCTGGCCGACAACAAGGGCTCGTTGCAGGAGCTGTCGGAGGAGTTTGATGTGTCTGTGCCCATGAAGCTGACAAAGCTCGAGCTAGAAAGGCTGAAATTGGAGTGCCCCTCATAGCAGCCACGTGACTTCCACCCACAGTTGGGACGCCAGAACCCTGCCATGGCTGTCATGGCGCCCCGCTCTACCCCTGGGTCCAGATTGTGCCAGATTTAGTCAGCAGGCCCATCGGTGGGGCGCCGTGCTGGTATATGACCCATACCTTGCTGTTTGCACTCAATATGTATGGAGTGCCAGAATAGCAGGCATCACATGCCTAACACAGCATACGCACATACATTTGGTGCATATCCAGCAGACGCTGATGGGGCTCACAAAAACTTGACAAAAATTCTTACTTTAAACACAGTCTCTCTTCCTTTTGACCTGCCCTCCAGCAAATGCCTGCGTCAGACATTCTTCCTATTCCTACCAAAGACTGCCTAAACTGATGTGTCCCATACATCCCATATTAGGCATCTGCAACCAGGAAGTCGCTAGTCAGCTTGATTTTCTTGCCCATTTCAAACGCTGGCAGACCACGATAGGGGCAGGTCGCACAGCGGAACCCGTCACCCAGCCCACAGCTCCCACAAGCGGACTGTGGGTTGTCCAGCATTTCTTGCGTAAGCTCAACTTTCACGCCCTTGGCCTCAGCCTCTGCACGGCCGCATGTGCAGTTCTTGCATGCCTTGCGCACAGGTGCATCCTTTGAGCCAACACTTCCTCCACCCGCTGCAAAAAATCGAGTCACAATAGTCATGAACACTGGGGCAAGAGTGCTTGGGGCCAACCTTGTCAGGGGTTGTACCTTTCTGTGCCTTGTCTGTTGCAAAGTAAGAACTTCAGGGGACGAGTCCATGGCATCTGGTTGGGCTAAACTTAGCTGAGTAGCCTAAGGTCATGACTGTCATTGGATAGTTCAACTACCCATAGTCAGTAACACCCCCAAGATGAAGTCCTCCGTACACCTTACAATTTGCAAACCCTTCCTCTGCTTCTTTTCCAGGGTTTCTTGTCAAAATTTTTCTTTGTTTGTTTGCACACCGCAAGCTGGACGAACAACGCAGGGCAATGTCGCCTTCCAACATGCAGACAATCATGCACTTGATGGGCATACAAATGTCAGCTCATTCCATTCACATCAATCTGATGTATTCGCACATCCCAGTCCAAGTGCAATCTGTCATTTCCATTGCCACTTGTGCACAAGGCTGCAGGGGAACAGGTGCAATTGCCAAGGTGAAGGAGCAGCGCCATCAACGGTTAGAGTTTCTGTTGGCTGTGTGACAGTTGCCACCTCTGATCGCACCTGCCGCTGGTGGCTTCAAGTCTTCTTCTGTGAGGAATTCGTCTTCGTCAAGCAATTCATCGTCTTCAGGGACAACACTCCATACCTGTTGCTTCGATGCTGGTGCAGATGCTCTTTCAGATTTCAATGTTATCGAACTCTTTGCACCTGTTTCCCATTGTGGCTTCCGAACGACCACCTGTGGGAAAGACAAAGAAAGCCCTTGCCAAATTGGCAACTCTGAATTCTGGGACAGTGTTGAATTTCGTCAACCCTTCGTCAAATACTGCAACAAATGTGTTGATATTGCTGTGTGAGATCTGAGGTCCCGCAGATCGTCGAAAACTTCAGATTGCAAGCTTCGCTATATGCCTTTGGAAAATCGCTGTGACATGGTGCATCTGTGATTGGAAAAGGGGGCCAAGCAAATATACAGCATGCCCGTTTTCGATTAGCTGCTCTCTTGACTGCCGCGTGGCAGCACACAGGGCCCAGGCCACCTGACAAAGTGCCAAAGAACGCCCTGCACATTTCCAAACACACTTGAATGATGGAGGTGAGAGCGCATCCCCAGGCACTGCCACACACCTTGCCATTCTGCTGCGTAACACCACGACTGATGAACCCCGCCAGTAAGCAGTTCCGCGAAACCTCCCCAGCGTCAGCTCCCTGCACAACAGCCCCCGCCAGTCACGCAATGCACCTGATCCAGCTCCTTCCTGCACGCTTTTCCATGCCCTGGCCCCTGAACGGTCGCTGCAGTGCTGCCGCGGAACATTCTCGCAGGGCACTTTGGTGGGAGGTGGACAACACCTCTCCTTTGCATTCAAAGAGACAGTTTTCGGAGGCAGGAAAAAGAAGAAGATTTCCTACATGTGGTGCTATGACACAGATGTGCATACCACCGTCCGTGCTATACCCGCAATACAGGACCCATCAGACTGTGCCATGGCCACGTTTAGGGCCGCCCATGTGTCACCACACTACACTCACAATCTCAAAAGACAAGTCCGTGGAACAGCACCACACGGTGCATTTGTTCAGGTTCGAAGGCTGGAGAAAGGAGCCCACCTCCGGCAGCCGTATCTCCAGTGGGGACCCGGGCAGGAGGGCCTCCCCGAGGCGGCCGACAAGCGCGGGGCTGGCTTGGGGCGATTCCAGCAGCAGGAGCCCGCTCCCGTAGGCGCATCTCCCCACCGCGGCGCCCTGCAGGTCCTTGCATCCCGTCATCACCGTCACGTGCGCCAAGTCCAGCCCCTGGTCCTGGAGAAGCTGGCGTAGCACCTCCCCGTCGAGGCAGGTGCCTTCGGCGGCGATGAATCCCTTCGGCATTCTGGCCGGCCCGACCCGCGCCTGCGCGGCACGGAAGTTTTGCGGCCCCGCAAGCTCTTCACGGATGGGCGGGGGAGAGCGCGCGAGCCGGAGAAGGGGCTTTCCTCTGCGCGGCGCTGGGGGGAGCTCCCACGGCTCCGCAAGCGTGCGGCTTCCTGGCAGAACGGCCGAGTGCCGAGGGAGGGCCGCCTGACATGAATGTCCTGGCTGCACACCCCTGTCCAGGGATGTATGCACATTCGAACATGTTCGAAAAATACCCCATAATGCCATTCATTGGGAATAAGAACTTTGCATTAATGCACATTATCACAGTACTGTGATACTCGAGCGGATTTGTGCAAATCACTGCCGATGAACGTCAATTCAAGAAGTGCTACGTAGGAAGGCAAGGAAGCAGCTGTAGGCTCCCGGTATAGTGATCTCCCTGTGTGCGGTCCGTATATGGGGTCTCCATATACGTCCGTATATGGAGATCCCATATACGGACCATGAGCACAGAGACGCGACGGAGGCGAGACGGGGATGGAGACTCAGTACATACGTGCCCTAACGCCCGACCGCCCCATGCTCACCCATCTCTGTCTCCGTACCGGGGCAACCCTAAAACCCGTAAAACCCTCAAAGAACTAAGCCAAGCAACAACCAACTAACCGCAAAGAAAAAGACGCCCAATCGTGGCCGTCTCCATCAAAGTTTACGTCGCCATCACTTAGCTTCGCCACCGTGCTCATGGCCCGCATCCACAACACGCTTGGGGGATGTTTTGGGAGAACCGGGCGTTCCATGGGCGGGGAGGGGAGGTGCCGGGTGACGACGAAATGGCCAGCTTATTGCAGGCACCTTGTGCTGTGCTGGGGCTCAACTGGGCAGACGCACACCGTTGCTCATGATACCACTGCCGGAGGTGGCTGGATTGTGCCGCCAAGACAGTCGTGCAAGGGGCTGTGCCAATGCGTTCCGAAAATGGAACGTAGGAATGTGCCAAATGCATCGATTGCCGAAAGAAAACGTTGAGGGTGAGAGCGATCTGCGCAGTTGCGCAACGATCGCCTTTGCACGAAGGTTGACAGAATTTGCTTCCACCGCCTGGATTGCAAGGACAATGAGTAGGTTCAGTCTATTTACCACCCCCAATACAGAAATCGAACTTGCCACAGTCCAATTTGAAACAATACAGAAACTCGCATCTCAACGTCGGTGCTTCAACGCAGTCGATCAGAGCACAATCTTTCTTGCGACCCCGCCAGGTCAAGCTGCCGACCATATCATTGGGCCCACCAGCAGGGCAGCCGTTTCCCGCCGGCGCCGGGGCCGCCGGACCCAACGCCACACACCTGCGACGTGGTGACTGCCTGACGTCAGCAGAGGCTGCGACGCTTGAGGAGTATCGAAAAGCTGCAATGCCGCTTCTCAGTCTATTGCTGCATATATTTACACAATCTATTATTGTTGATGTTTGATGCCAGCGCTCAGTGACGGATGGCTTCACAGGTGGAAGCTGGCAAAGGACAATTACAGAACAATGAAAACAGCTTTCATTGCTCGTTAGCTCTCTTTGGTCCATTTGCACCAGTGGACACCTCAGAATCTGCCGGCTACCTCACTGCCTTGTGCTGTAAGAAATTGATGATGACGATTGTGAGAGCGAGGAATATATGGCGAGTAATTGTAAGGGGAATGGTGGTAAAGATGGTGTGATTAAACACGGCGATAGAAGAGCGGTGAATATGGGATAGGTGGTTACTAACTGAGGAAATTTTCTGCGAACACCATTTGGTTTAAGTGCTGGTCTTGTAATGCATTTGGTTACGGCCTCGCTTCCTGTGCCTGGGAGGGACTGAGTGCGGACTTAGCACAAACGGTCAGCCTGGTGATGATGATGATGATGATGAACACCTCAGAATGCAGTCCATCATGATTTTAATCAAATGTGTTGCAACTGCATATAGCGAAATACAAAGCACAATATTGACTATGGTACTTGTGCTTCGCTACATCTAGTGACACCTTGGGAAGTCCAATGATTCCACAAACAGTGGCTGTCCATGTGCGTGGGGCGAAGTTGCCCCTATCAGCGCCAACTTGAATGGAAATTATAAATGCAAATGATGATGGCCCTTAACGAGGCCTTCGAATAAATTCAAAGAATCTAATGATTGTTCGTGTTGCATGGAAGCAGGCCGCTCCATTCGCGACAACGACTACAGGTAACCGTTGCGGCGAGCCGAGCGGTCTGCTCACATGCAATGGGAATGATCACTAGATTCCTTCGATCACTAGACTCTTTGGCAAGCTACCGCATATCGCCGTCAAGAAGATGTGTGAATGGTGGCGGGCTATCCTTGCAGCATCCTGCTACAAGGGGTGGTCCGTGCCCCATTGACACATTTTGATGGCATCTATAGCCTCGCTACGGCGAGGTATCTTGCTAAAGAATCCACTGTTCCGGTGATCAGAGGGCTCAGCCCGTTTGAATCGCTAGAACACTAGATATTTAAAGATCGTTTAACGTGTACGCCTGTCCTTGGATCGCCCAGGTCCAAGGATCCGGTAGCCTCCAGAGATGCTACAGGAAAGTGAACAGCGCAATTTTATCCCTTCCAAGAATATGGGTCGGCCCGAGGACATGCACCCAATTTCAGCACTGACAGCACGGGTTCCATGTACAATTTCCGGCTGGCTGCTAATTATATATAATTATATGTGTCTCCTCGACAATGTGCAGCGTTCATGAGCGCTGCTGAAGATCTGCGTATGTGACAGCACCTGTGGCAGTCATTTGACGAGATTTGGCTCTGTCTAGTCACTGGTACATATCTTGGATCTGTTGCATGTGTCGTTTGTGTGCAGCAAAGCGGCAAGTAATTTTTGCGTCAATCAAGACATCATGCACTTTCCTTTGGCGCAAATTCTCCTATGCCCCCACATGGGCGCATTCGGAACATGTGTCGATTGTGTTGGGACGTGAAAATTGAATGAAGAAATTGTCAAAATCTAAAGCCACGAATTTTGTTGCGTTATCGTTGTGATATGGCACCCAATTGTTGCAGGTTTGTGAGTTCGTTTCACATGAATGCAAGCAGCCAAATCAAATCATGTCAACATGTAATCAGATGTCAAGCATGTAATTTTATGCAAATAACTCGTTGCGATTTTCTACAGAACAAGTTGTGCAATCATGACAAATCGAATATCCCTCGTTTCAAAAACAATATCTTGGGCGTGGAAGTAATATTCGCTCAAACTTTCGTGATCATAATTCAAGGAATGATTAAGTTATACAAGCACCTATCTCATTGAACGATGCAAAAATTTCGAACACTTATATGCAGTCAAACACCCTTTCAAGTCGCGCCCTTTGGCTGGTGGTCTCTTGTAGTCTTTGTGCCCATTCCTCGCCTCGTCCCGCACAAAGATGAGGGCGGTGATCCTTTCTATTATGTATTTCCTGCTTCAAAGGCACCATTTTTGGCCTGAAAATGTTAATTCCTCCATTGCATGATTAAGTGGAGCGCATACTGCTATAGTTGATCAACAAGAATATTCCTCATAGGTGATACAGAGAATTTGAGCACCGACAAGACAGGCACGCACCGTGGCAACGCCCCGCCTGGTTTGCGGTCTTTCGAAGTCTTTCTACCCAATCCTCGCCTCATTCAGGACTAAGACGAGGGTGCCGCCCCTTTGTTTTTGTACTGCCTGTGTGTTTCACAGGCCCAATTTCAGCACTCGATATCTCAGTTCACCCAATTAATTATCGAGTCGAGAGCGAATACTGATTCTACTGCAATGCTCAATTGAGCAGGCCAACAACTTTCAGCAATAAAAATACAGCCATGCACTGCAGTAAACAGCTCCGGCATGTACTTCATATTTTGAAGTCCTCCGCCCATCTCTCACCTACGTGCAATACACTGAGCGGACTGCTTCTTTTGTTCCCAGTGCTCTGGAGCGAACGATGAGCGTGGTGGGCATTCATAATACCCAGGGAGAGCAAGCATGCCCAAGAGGGATTTCATTGGGGCACAAGCTGGCCATCGCAGGCATTGCGGCAGATAAACCACCTACCTATGGCCACGATCAATTAAAAGCACAGCAACCCATCCACAGCATGGTTTCCGCCATGTAGAGGGCGACGCCATTGCTCGGCTTCAAACCGCCTGGCCCTATCTGTTCCGGCGCGTGCGCGACACAGGCCAGGGCGGGTATCCTGGTACTGTGGCTCTCAGTGTGCGACTCGCCGGTGCAACTGGGGTCGGGGCTCCCATCGTGTGCCGGCTTAGACATCCTAGCGTTGGAGTTCTGTCCACGGTGGTCGCCGCCTGCCCATGTCCTGCAGCAGACGTTTCGGAAAATGGGATGACGTTCGCTCCCCACCCCACCCCACCCACCAACACCACCACCCACCTCGATATTTTATGCTTTCGGCGCAACTGACTTTCCAAGGAGTTGAATCCTCCATCAAATTTTGGGGGCGTTACTGAACCTCGAGGGCAGTGGAAGTGGCCCTTCACGTGATGCGTGCGCCTCGGCAGTTGGAGTCCCCCATCTGTGAAAAAGAATGACACATAAGCGCATCATCCCCAGCGTAGTCCCAATTTGGGGAAATTTGGGACTGCCAAACGTTCGCGACGTAAAGTCAAAGTCAAGGTTGCCGCAGATAAGAACTTTTGTTGCGAAACGATACCCTTTGCGAAAGCTTGTCTCATTCCTTGTGGATCCTCCTGCAGTAGGCTTGCCGTTCAGGTGCTTTTGGTTGGCCACCATGCCTGTGTTGCCACAGTGCTGCCTCAACCCTGTGTGCCACGAGAACTGCTCGCATCTCGAACAGTCAACGGTGTTTCGGCCTTCGACAAAACCCGAATTACTTGACTACCACGACTGGCAGTTGAATGGTTTAGTGGAATCATCAGTGGTTTTTAACCAGGGCTATGAAAACCACGCGAGATCATCGTTGCTCTCCTTTTGGCACCTTTTTTCTGGTGAGGCATTTGCTCAATGTGGCTGCTGATATGGCAATAAATTAATATGGATATGGACCAAGGAAACAATGGACTTGTGCTCGCAAACATTGAGATGAGCTGGCAGTTGGAATCCAGAGAATCCGCTCATTGTTTTGTCTTGGTTTGACACTACATTGATGCGGCAAACTGCAATTTTGCAGCCGTCCATGCATCAAGTGTGTGAAACGCTGCAGTGAAATGTTCTTCCTCTGTTCCAAATCAAGCATCTTCTATGATTTTGGCACATCACTTTTCCATCACAAATTCTCCCTTTTCAAATGAAATTTCGTCCAAGGTCGCCCTACGTTTTTGGAGTACACAGTCAAAATTTCAAGTGTCTGAACGGAGTCCAAAAAGTGATTGAAAAGTGCGATGGGCGCAAAACAGAAACTGTGCCCAATACATTCTGATTCCGCAAAAGAGTGCTTTGGGCACCATTTCCGTTCTGTGAGCCACCCTAGTTGTCCGATCGATATAAGGACCAAAAGCCATTCAGCAGCTAGCAACCGCCGGTGAGCCAGGCAGCGCACGTGCGTGCGTTTGCCATGCGGCAATGCCACTGCGGCACTGTGGCAGTCCAAACGTCCCCACCAGTACCCGTTGCTTGTAGAGATTAATGCCAGCTCCATCCTCGACAGTGGTCCCGGTTCTGTTCTCCAATCACCCAGCCTGAAGAGCCGCAGCCTGCTCTCTTTCATTGCGGCGCCCTGACTTTGTTCGCCCATTGCCTGGGCGACTGTCGGGCAGGCAAAGCTGAGGCAAACATACAGTGGCGCCCACACCCGCAGCGGTTGAGCCCCGTCCATGGAGAGCCTGCTGTCACAGGATGCGCATTCTTCTAGGCGCGTGTGCTGGCGTAGCCCTAGTGCTGTGTACATCATTAGGAATGGGGGTCGTTTGCCAGAGCTTGGGTTTTTGCAAGTATTGGGGGCGTGGTGAACGCTGAAGGGAACTCTGTATTGTTGCACTCGGCCTGGCAGCTGCCAGAACGGTTGCTCAGCGTTTGCGTGTGCCTCTCGCTGCGGTCTGGGCACTCAGCCCGGCTGCCTGACTAATCTGGCCGTGTGCGCAACGTTCGCCACGGTCTGAGCGCAATAGTGCTCGACCTTTTCGAAGGTCGCGGCCAGTCTGTGCCGTTTCTGAGGCGTTTCCTTGCAGTTCAAGACGAGCACTGCCTGCGCAAGCATGCTGCTAGTCAAAAGCGACCAAGTTGTTGCACAGCTTCGTCGAGGCGGAAAGAACCATCTTTCGAGTTTGCATCGCTACGCTGTGTACAAGGCTGCCCAGACCCGTGGGGCTGACCTGTGGCCTGAACTCGCCGGCCTTTGGCGAGTGGTTGCGACTGGTCGTGGCGCTCTGGGGGGCAGCTGTGAGAGTTTCTACAAGCGCGCTTGCACGCTTGACGGTCAATTGGATGTTTGCCGCTCGTCTTGGCAACCCCACGCAATTGGTACGGATGATTAACACAGATGTTGTCGACTCATCCACAGCAGTCAAGAAAAGAGCAATGTCGTGCAAAACTCAACGATCGCGAGTCTTCTCTGCCCCTGTTTCAAATTTACTGGATGTGCCCTTTTCTTCTTTCCTCACACCTTTTTTGCTGTCATGGGGCATCAGATTATTGACGCATGCCACCTGATTTGCTGGAAGGGATTGTCCATGGCTGTACATTGAAAGACGCGCAAGAGCAAAAAGGGCTAGAAGCAGATAATTCTGATGCGTGGGATGAAGCAAATGTGTCAGAAAGGCAGTTGTTCCAATAAGAACATCGAAAGCATTTACTTCATTTCAAACATGCCAAACGCCATGATGCTCAATAGTTTGTAATGGGATTAACTATCTTGTTAAGGGGTTTCCGCCCAGGGCGACGAGGGGCAGGTGCACTGGCTCCAGTCGGACCAGCGCTGCTTAAGTACGGCTGTTTTGGCGTTCCCTTGGGGTTTCTGTCCCCTTGTACCTTGGGTCAGTGGCCAGTTCGTCGCGTTCAAGGAGGGCCAGTGGTTCTTGGCGCCCTTGGGAGTGATGGGCTTTGGCGGGCGCGAGCGGGGGAGTCTATTTAGGCTCTCCCCTCGGTCCCCACTCCATCTTGTTTCGCTTCCCGCCCGGCCCTCCCTATTAGGGTGATGTTCGGTTGATTGGGGCAAGTGTGGGAGTTAAGCACGAGGGAACGAGGAGTGGTGGGGCTGACTCGGAGGTTGAGTCATGTATGGGATTGGCTTAACTACTAGCGAAGCGACTGGGCACACAAGTTGTGGGTACCTCGGGTTGTATTGGGACAAACAATGTCGTTGTAATGTATTGGTCCAGTGTGTGTGTGGACCTGGGCGGGACAAGGAGCCCGGCCCGGCGGAATTCTCAGAAACATCATTCTTGGGCCAATGACGCACAACTTTTTCAGGGCTACATGTATGTTGCACGAATTAGCACCTACAGGTTTATGGGGAGCCATGGCACTGGGTGGACTCAGAGTGTGACCGTAAGCATCGAAAAGAACGTCATTGAAGTGCTATTGCACCACAGTGCCCCAACGACGCCTGTTTTAAAGATACATGAGGAACCACGAGTAAGACAAACTACCCTCTGTACAGATGTCCTGCTCGGGAGAACGACTGTGATACCAGGGGTCCAATGCAACCAGGGAGATTCGCCTGCCAGTGGCGATACCCTTCGACATGGTCCTCATGTGAGCGACAGGTCCGTGTTGGGATCAGTGGCGGAGTGCCGAGCGTTGAGATGTGCGCAGCTTTGTTGTGACACTTGCTCGAAAATTGCACGGCGGCCTTCCTCAGACGCCAGGGGTGAATCGGGCGTGGGCTGGCTGGTTTGCCAGGGACCTTCCGTTGGCCGCGAGTTGATTTTATTGAAGTGAGGGGTCTGGAACCCAACAATTTGCGAGGGGCCACGCGGCCACACGGCATCTGAGCAGCACTAGGGGTACTTCATCCGTTCGGAGCGAGACTGATGTTCAGTATGGGACATCAGCTGCTGCGCGTGGGGAAGAGCACATTAGAGTGAGTAGGCACAGCATACTGCACCTCCTGATACCATGTATGTGTCGTGGTTGTGGACCAGACTGAGCGGTTCTCTCCGGCAGGCTCACAAGTTTTGGATGATTGCAGTATCTGATACTCCCACTCGCCCATCTGTGTGACACAGGCACTGGATTGCCCAAAGGGCAAAACCGTGTCTTAGGTTTGCTGGCCGACCTGGGAGCCGTTCAGCCGCAGGGTGGAGGGCGAAGCATCCCAGAGCAATAGTCTGAAAGGAGGGGCCCCTGCCCGCCATAAAGTCTCCCTCAAATCTTTCGCTACACAAGCAACAACGCGTTTGTGCAATATGTAAAGCAGGATTGCCACACAGATGCACCATTGTCCGTGAAGACTAGGTAAAAGACATGTGATGAAATGCTCTCTGTTCATCCAGTTATCTGTCCCCTGTGGCCCCCATTACGCTGTGAAGCGGTAAAAGACAAAGGAACCACTGTTGGAGGTGGTGCTCCGTTGTAGTATTGTGTCCTCTCAAAACAGGACAAGCCACCACCTCTCCGACGATGGCGTCTGGGCCGTTTCCTGTCTTCACGGAGTTTGGAACCCCAGTGGGCTTAGCCCACCATTGGCAAATGTGTGAATGAGACAACTACGTATGCCAAGCATGCATCTCGATAACTGTACAAGATACTTGTGCGTGCACTGCAAACATCCGCAAGGGAACATCATCACGCAAGAATCGATGCCGTAACAGCCCAAGGCCTGGAAGTTCGGGCAGGCTCATCAACATCTGGAGCAAAGACGAGTACACAAGATGTCAGACTCCAAAACCGTTCCAGGAGACACGCCCCCATGTGGACAGTGCGACTGCGAGGATGTTGGTTTTGCACGTCCCAAAAGTAGAGTCCATCCAAACACCTGCGGCATTCCCAGCCAGGGAGAAAACTAGCACAGATGGATCAAATTCTATCCCAGCCAGCGTCGCACATGCGACTATCAGTGCTGGCCCCAGAGGCCTTCATGATGAGCAGTACATTACAAACCACACCAAAATTGTATGAGGGGTCATGAACAGGGCAATGGCAGGGGTGGCCAGCAACCATTCCTTGTGCAGCGCGTCCGCGATCAATGCACAATACAACGTGGAGAACAAGTGGAGTCAGTACTGGGCGCCAGCAAGCGGAGCGCCCGAACTCCCACCCATTGCAAAACCCCAAGAGCTAGCAGCAGTCTGCCACTACAGAGGGGCTTCGCAGCCATTCCTGCAGCCACAAGCCCCGTCTTCCAAGTCTTGCATCTTGGTACAAAGCCGAAATCCTCCCAGCAGGTTCTCGCCCACACAAACGCGCAGTCCCTGATCCAAAGGCCCATCAATAAGCGGCGGTCTCAAGGCAAGCAGCTGCATGACTAAGTGCACACTGCAGAGTGCTCGCACCTTGAGGGTGTGCTTCCCAAAGGGACCGCAGGACACAGCTGGGGTGCCCAAGCTGGTGTTCTGAATAAACCACCAGAAGCGCACATCGCAGACACCATTTTCCACACAGAATGACATTTACAACCTGCAGCTCTGCCCCACCCTATTGCCTTAAAACACCATAAGACCACCCAAATTTCTGGTAAGGGCTGGAAGCAAAACGACAATAATCCAGCCACCCATCAGTTCCAAGGAGGGACTTGATATGTCACCACCATGAACAATCACAACAGTACACCCCTTCTTTCGTTTCTCATTACATCCCTTCCAAAGGTTACAGTTCTGACAAGTGTCACAGAATCCTGTCAGGGGCTCTGACCATTCCACCACCTCCCTCACCTCTCACTATTTGCCAAATTTAGAATGGAAGACATCATTTGGCGAACGAGGTGCCGAGTTTTCACTCCTGTCACGTCCGCCACATCTGGACATCACCACTAGATGCAGGCCTCAAGCATACTTGTCCATCTTCACACCCAAACGGCGGCCATCAAGTTCAGCATTGTTGAGCTCATCGATCGCCTTCTTGGCAGACTCCACATTGTCAAACCTCACTGTTCCATATCCCTGCGGCATCGTCCAATGGTCTGTGGTCAGCATAGTCCACCATATACAGGCGAAAACGCAGGAGACTGGCCATACTGTGTGCTCTTTTCTGAAGACAAACACCACTCTGAAAGTAGGAAACCACACTGCAGCCAGGTTGATCAGGTCAGTTGGCCAGCCCTGGAGTGTATGGTGCCACAATCGTATGCCAACGAACATACATTTGTCACCCAGCATATGAGCAGTTCATAGGTCCTTCTCTAGTGAGAAGGAAGGCTGCAAGACAAAGTACAAGATACTGAATCCACTTTCAAGGGCTGTTCTCAACTCAAAATACAGCTGCTGCGATTGTGAGCATCGACTGAAGCTGTGCAAGATGGACAAGGGTACATTTGGACATACCCTGCTCCTCCCATCACGGCCATACACCACCTCCGCATGAACAACGCTCCCGATCTTGTCGTTGAACAAATCCTTCAACTCACGCCATGTGTACCTGAAAGGGAGCCCATGCACCACAACCTACAGGCAACGGCACAAAATCAGCCCCTTCTCTCATACAACAGCCAAGCAACTTCACCTATGCATGCCACACAGCAGCACTGGATGAAGGCCATGGAGCTTTTGGAAACGCACTGAACAGCCTACCTGCAGCTCCGAATGCTCCCCGCCTGGGCTTCGTGGTGTCCGCTCGTACTGCTGTGACAGCAACGGCTTGATCAGTTCTGCCATCGGGCATTAAACCACACATCATACTGCAAGCCTTCTTTCACCACAACGCAATTCATGTCCACAAGACAGTTGCTGCCCAGCCTGGACCCTTGATGGGTGTACCTGGTCCCCATAGCCCTCCCCATCCCTGCCTGCAGAGTTGTACTGCTTCACGTCACGGTCTTCCCTGTCTTCGCGGACCATGATCGGCCTGCCGCCAATTTCCAAGCCGTTCATCGTTTCCACTGCCTTCAGCGCCTGCGTGACACACAAGCAGGGGCCAGAAAAGGCCAGGGAACTGTCAGCATCCATGCCGCTGGGCCCCATCAAGGAAATCGTCTGACTGCCAGTCAGCGCAACTCGTGCTGAGGCTGCCTCCAACGCCTGTGACGTCACACGACCGCCACAGCCCAGGGCTTTCCGAAGCATGCCTCAACCCCGTTTCGTGGAATCCGCCGGGCGGTTCGCAACGAACGGTCGCCCAATGGCCCGGCATATCGTGACCCAATGAGACGGCGGGGCTCAATTCCGTGTCAACAGCCCATTGGCCCTTGCTCTCCACCGAGGACGGGCCCAATGTGGCCGGGTTCTGTTCGACTTCCCCCACCGTCCCCTTCATTCACTGCCGGCACCCACACCGCGCCGTAGCACACCCTCTCACCGCCCACCCATGCCGCCAGCCGAAACCAGGGAGCTCCACAGCCAGTACAAGATCAAAATGAGCAGGCCGCCCCCGAGCAGGAGCCCGCGCGAATCCTCTCCGCGCTGCGCACGGTAACGCGGCGCTTCCGAGCGCTACAGCAACAGCACGCAACGCCCGACGCCCGCCATCATCAGCCCCACCTCTTCCGGGTGCTCGAACTCGACAATGCCCCAGCCCTTCGACCTTCCTGCGCAAGCCAGCACCGTGCGTCAGTCCTAGTCAATGCACGAGGGTAGGATCATAAAACTCTCACCCCCCACCCACACTCCCACCCCCCGTTCAAACACGCCAACCGCAATGCCGCCGGCCCATTGCCCCGCAGCCGGCCCCGACTCACCGTCTTCCGTGCGCATCACGTTGGCGTACACCACCTGCCCGCACTTTCGGAACTCGTCCTTCAGGTCCTGCCAGGACGTCCGCCACGCCAGGTTGCCCACGTAGCACCGCTTGCCGATCACGAGCTTCTCGCCATTCTCCATGCCGGCCACGGCCGCGCCCTCGCCGCAGGTCGCCGCCTCCCCCGTCGGCGGCTAGCCGCTCCGAAACTCTCCGACGCCGCGAACTGCCGCAGCCCGGACGCGGATAAGTCGACAGCAGCCAGGGCGGTTCCCGTTTGGCCGTCCCAGCTCCGCAGGAGGCCAAACATACGCACGAAAATGGGGCCCAATGCCGGTGATCAGGACGGCAGGAGGGACATGCCAAGTGGGAGGAACTTGGTAGGGGATGTAGGAACGGGTCGCTGGGACCCGCCCCAGGAAACGACATCCAATTCTGCGGCCATTTGCTCGCTGCTCGGCTCCTCCCAATTTGGTTGGCACAAATGGCAACAAGGTGTCAGACCACCGGAGTTGATCCAGCGGGACACTCCCCTGTGGAATCCAGCGGCATCACCCGAAGACCATTTGAGGACCCTATTCACCAAAGCACATCAGGCTCTTCCTTCCAGCAAACGTCCTCTTTTCTGGCACCAGCCTTCCCACCTTCACAGCACCACACATAACCAAATCAACTGCCCTAAGCCAGTTCAGTTTTCATTGTTCCTACGTCACTGCCCTTGTCCAACAGTCTGTTTCCTGGAGGACATGGTCCTTCAACAACCGTCTAGGGAGCAACGGAAACAGCAGGTGCTAAGGCATATGCCATTGAAATCATGCTATTCAGTTGGGAGTTCAAAAGATACCCATCACACTTTCCACCACTCGACATGACCACCATAAACTTGACTGCTCTTGACTGTTGCTGGTGTTACCCACATATACAGCACTGAGCAAGCAACACTTGCTTGCTTTCAGCACAACGCAGTTCTGTTTTCCACACCATGAGTCACACCTGTCAGGCCATGTGCAACGCTGAATAGAATAGATCCCCAAAAGTGATGGTGCTGGCAAACAATGCCAGAGCCCCATGGACGCCCAAGCTGCACAGTTGTGCTCCATTCTAGAATGGGGGAGTCGTGAGCAGCAGTGCTGAATTAGTGCCACCAAATCCAAACGAATTACTCATAGCGGCAAATGGATGCTGTGGCAACGAAGACTTAAGCTTGGGCGAGTTCTGACAAATCAGCCCAGCCAATAGGCATGGCTCAGGGTTTGTCAAATTCACAGTTGCCGGGGCAACTCTGTGTGTTAGAGAGAGAACTGTGAACACCTGCAACACAACCACACAAAAATCAGCCAGCAAAACACAACACTTGTGTCCATCATGGCTTTGAAGATGCAGAGGAATTCCTTTGTTGCGTTCCTGACCAATATTGACAGTGAGGAATCAAACTGGCATCATGCAGCAGCATTTTGTTCCATTCCCACCAGCTCAACTGCGCCAGATGCACCCAGCAAATGTCCTGTTGCGCCTTTTGTGGAAGACACAAGCAATCCTGGATGAGATCTCTTCCCGTGCTGTTGCCCTGCACTGCTACTAGGAAGGGGCTCCTTTGTTGCCCAGTCTCCAAAAGCACTGGCAATGGCTCTTTGCTCGATGTCATCCCCTGTAAAATTCCACCAAGATGACAGAAGGGATGTCAAAATTCCATTGCGTATAAATCGGATGCGCATATTATGAGCTGCCAGCGATCATTGTGCCTGTGACACAATTGGCCAGGTATCATTCCAATCCAGCTTGTGCACCACCTGTCGAATTTGTTACCACCAGCAACCACACACACACTTGTTGTTGTGGGAGCCATGATTGAATACCACATGAATACAACAGAAAGCTGACACAGCTTTGTCGACATCGCCCACCATTGGAACACACTGGCAGCAAAGCAACAGCTGCACCCCTGCTACCATTCCTGTCAGAGTTGTGGTCCATATCAACAAGCCACCAAGCCAAAGACATCATGCCATCTCTCCGATATGGTATCAGGGGCAGCAGCATGTAGGCATTTTCAGTACCAGGTTGGAAGCAAAACCCATATGGGAATATACACATGCCGATGCGAGCAGCCCAAGGAAATGCTTTCCCTATGTCAAAACAAGTGGCAGAAGCAGAGTCATCATACAATATCAGATGTGGCATTCGCACATGGGATGGAAGCCCCGTACCCAGAGGTGTGGATGTAGCATGAGCATTGAGGTATGCAACATCTTCAGGATTCACGCCAGAGTTACGAAGGGCACCCATGATCGCTAGGGATGCCCCAAGGCCAGTGGGATGTGGCTGAGTGATGTGGTGCCCATCTCCAGAGACACCATATCCGCGAATCTGCACAGCCACGCACTTTTCAAATCCATGACACTTGCAACTGTCTGGTGCTGTGGATTGTACCCATGGACAGATCATACTGCCATACAAGCTGAGGACTTGTTGGTGTACTTCTTAAGTAATTTCTCAACCCCTAACTGCCACAGCCATGGCTGTTCCAAACGTTGCCCACTATTGCACAACATGCATTGCATGTATATACCATGAAAATGGAAAATCACAACTTGCAGTCTCAAAGGTGAGCGATGGGTTCAATCTGTTTCTCTTATTATATATGCGCCACCGCCTTGAGCAGGGTACCCAATTGTATCTAGTGTGTTGGGACTAGCATGACAGCTACAGAACGACTCAGACAGTCCAAACCCCTAGGACATGGCAGGATGTACATCCCAAAACTGGCACATCCTGAGGTTGTTCCAAGCACTCCGGACTGCTTGATGACTTGTGGGATTTGTTTACTTTTCCTTCAGCAGCAGCTCAAGCTGTGTTGGAAGAGATGCACAAGTCTCACAAAGTCCTCAAACAGTCTGGCATCGCCGACACAACCTCAGGAACTGAACTTGTATGGAAATCTTGACCCTGCCAAGTCACATGGATTAAGGAATGTGTGAGGCTGGGTCATTATTGACTGCATGGAGCAGGTGATCCCTAACATGTTGTGAATAGGGACAGGAAATGGCAGCTAGAGAACAAAAGAAACAAGTTGTGCCCATTCACTCGCCTTTGAGGCTCTGATGCACCTGAAAATGCAACTTACGATTCTCCCTTTTGCGTCATCTTTCCCCACAGTGTGATAGGGTATGATGCCTGTCATATTCAGTCCACACTGAAAAGTTGGAGAAAGGAAAGAGCCGCTCAATAAGGAACACCGAACACTGAACAAACAATGCGATATGACTACCAACAATGGTTTGGAATTAATGCCCAGCAACGCCTCTAAGATGCAAGGGGAGTGTTCTGTCTGTTTATGTGACAAATATAATCAAAGGATTTGAGAGAAAGAGCCTCCACTCCGCAGTCTACACGACCTTTGTGATCCACTCACTTCTGCATAAGCACGCGCTCCCCTATTTTGAGCATGTTCAAGCTCTTCTAGCACCACAATGCCAGCCCCTTCACCAACGACGAACCCATCACGTTCTTTATCAAAAGGACGAGATGCCTTGAGGGGATTGTCATTGTACTTTGTTGCCAATGCTCTGAGTCGACAAAATCCCATTAATGTCACAGCATCGATGCAGGCCTCTGATCCGCCAGCCACCTGTAGACAGGGCAAGGACAAAAATTGAGTTCTGCAACTGGAAGCCTCTTACCCCACAGCAAATGTTGTGCCACAGTCATGTCTGCCAAACATGCGGTCATAGGGTTCTCATGCTTTCTCATTCTTCTCTTTTTCATTTATCTTTGGCGTGAGGTGGACACCACTGACCCCAGCAAAGTGGTGCTGCAGGAGAGAGGCATCTTGCCACCAGGCGTTGTATTTCCATGCCATCTGCCCAACAACAGGAATCAATAGCCACTCTGAACATACCATGACTTTGGCTGCTCCTTTCTGGATCATGTGGAAAGCATCGCCTATCGCATGTGATCCTGCAGCACACGCTGTGCTGGGAGCAAGGTTAGGCCCGTGGAGGCCATACCTGATGCAGGAACAGCAATTCTTCAACATTCAAAGGTGGGAATTACCACAACCTGAGCAGGGCATGAGCACATCTACCTCAGCCTGCTCACCTCACACCAATGCATCCAGCTGCCATGTTTGGCAGCACCCTTGGAACAAAGAATGGCCCCAGGCGACGAAGGCTGTCAGCACTCTGCACAGCACAGCTGCAGTTGAAACCTGCTTTGAGGGCAATCGCCAAATGTTGGATTTGCACTTGCCAGTATAAAATTGTTTACAATGCTCAATAGTAACAACTAGTTGTGCGATGTTAGGCAGTGTTTACATCCTTGTGCATTTGTACCCAGTTCTGCAGCGAGGAAAGCAAGTTGTCCCAGGAAGCTGTTGTTGGAAAACCTAAACAGAACAGAAAGGTGTTGCGCCATACAATGGGCAGTGGCCCCCCATGATCCAAGGGTCGCTGTGTGTCTCTTGTCCACAAAACACAACAAGATGCAGACGTCATCGTGCACAACGGAAACTCCACACAACACAGAGCAAGCTGCTGCAATGCAACCTCACAAGCCCACCATCAACATTCCCGCATTTGCCATGTCCTCAGTGCAGCTCATCCCTGAGCCCACAGCTACACCAGTGGACATGCGGTGTTGGCTGGTCTGTGGAATCCACGTTGCATCTGCAAGTGCCTGCATCCACGTTCAGGAAACAAAAAACAAGCGTTAGGCGATGTCATGCGACCCAGAGCACTGACCTACAAGAAGTGCCAAACTCGCTGGAAGAGATTCCCCTGGTCGCCTTTAGTCCGCTGACAATCAAGATGTTGGCGCGTTGGTGGAAGCACACACCTCTGCTGCAGCCACCATAGCATAGTGCATGAAGGCAGCCGTTTGCCGTGACTCCTGAGCACAGAGATGAAACCGACCCATTAGACATGCCTGCAGCAGTGTCCAACCAGCCTTGAAATAGCTGCCAGATTGAACATATGAAGCTCAACCTCGAAGACAAGACATTGTGCGAGCCGAGTTTTCGTCAATGGCCAAGGGAGAAGGACAAGCTCCTTGCCAGTTCGACTGAATCAGGGACCTCTCCGACAGAGCTGAGTGTCATTTGGTATCGTGGAACATAGAAGTCACCTTCTTGGGTGCCCACTCACAGGTCTCCAGTTCCTCTTTCGGAACGCAGGCAGCAACCTGACAGGGTATACGCCGCAAATGGCTTCGATGCGTCTGTGACAGCAGGAAATGATGCAACACATCGAACCCGAGGCACCACTCAGATGACATGCAGGATACACAATGCCCACAGAGGCACATCCAATCCCACACGCCCCAAAGGCAGACATACGCTCTTGCCTCCGATATGGCGCAACACCAGCCAACCTAAGCACGGCAAGGCAACAGGCGCGCCACGCGCCCGGCGTCCCTGTGCAAACGTTGCCTCAGATCCGCCGCACCTCCGGCAGATCTGCCTCCCTTAGCCTCCTGACGGCCGTCTCCCCGCGCACCAATCGCCTCCAGGATCGGGCCACGCCCACGCCCAGAGGCGTCACGAGGCCCAGCCCGGTGACGACCACCCTCCGAGGTTTGATATCCGGAGGGTAGCCAAAGGCGTCCGCGGTACTGATCGGTCTCCAGCCCCCACGGGGGCACAGGCGGGGCCACATGCCATCAGGGGGATTTGGGAGGGCCTCCCACACTCGACGCAGCGAGGGCATCATGGGGGATGAAGGCATTTTGCTAACGGCACGGGCGGCGCAAGGTTGCGACAGAGGTCTCTGGGCGCAGTGGGCGGCCACCCGTGTCGCTGGCCGGTCGCCAAGCGGCCGGTCGCCCGCGCTGTGGCGGACACACGCCGCGAGAGGCAGGTGTAGTTTTAGACCGGAATTGGGTTGGCTGGCGACCAAGACAGTGCCAGGATCGTACGACAGACAGGCACTTCTGCACTTCTACACTTCTGTACCGTAGATCACAGAGGACAGCGCCGGGGGTGTTGAATAGTGCGGGGCCCTTTAGATAACGCCCCCGGCGTCATCAAACATGGCCTGTGTTGCCGAGCACGGGGTTAGAACGCCTGACGCCGTTCCAACTGTTTGGTTAAAATCTTTGTTGATTAACCACGCCTGATTAACGACACCTGCACGGGGATCGTAGGCTGGAGCGCACGGCAACGGTTCACAGCCAAACAAAGGGATAGCAGAACTTCTGTCCCTTACTTCCAGTCCATTCACCAACGTCCTAAATGCAGTTCCTAGTGCTTCATCACTTCTTGATGCGGTCACCTGTTAACAACACTCAGTCCGTTCCAGTTGCAACAGCAGAACAGGGTCGATGGAGTGCTGGGCAGGGGTATTGACACATCGACACACCATTTGATAATCCGAGTCACGGCTACCAAGCACCTCGTCACCGAAAGCCACACAACACCTCTGCGCACTGGCCTTTGCTGCGTGCGTGCTTGGCTACGCAAAAGACGAGACGGGCGTGAGCTCCGGTCTGCCACCCTTTCGTCTCTGGGCGCATCAATACAACTGCGCAACGTTGCGAATACTTTGGGTGACATTTCAAGTGGTGCCTCCACCGGCTGAGAAGCCTACACAAACATGCTCAGCGCGGGGGTGCCAATCACCAAGGTGGGCCTGCATCGTCAGGTTCATGACGTGAACAGAGGCACGATGAAGTCTTTTAGGGTGTGGTTGCGGAAGATGCGCACAGGGTGCAGCGCATAAAGGTGCCATCCGGATCGGTGGGATCTCAACTTGTGTGCATGTACCACCTCTGTGTGTATCAACAACAGCGGCATATTGGATGGTGGGCAAGCAAGAGGCCGTGGACATGCGCGTGGGGCAGGATTAGGAAGGCTGTGGACAATTCTGACTCAGTGAAGTTAATGATGTGAATCTGCAAACTGCAGAATAAAGAATGGCAGGAGAAGAAAACAGCCCCGATGGAAACGGGCTTGGGCTCACGATGCGTTTCAGCTATAACTGAGTTGAAGATCATTGTTCTCAGTTTTTGATGGTTTGTGCTGCCCAGGAGCTTGTTCTCCTTGGTGGTGGACACTCACATGTGGAAGTGCTAAGATCTTTTGGAATGAAGCCGGTGCCTGGTACACGACTCACCCTAGTCACTCGAGATGTACACACCCCTTACAGGTGCAGGCAGATAACATTCAAATTTCAATTATTGCCTTATGTTGTACCATGTGGCAAATGCACGTGCTGCAGTGGGGAAGAGAGTGTGTGGTTGTGCCTTGTTGAGCCGTGTGGGGCTGCTGCACATAAAAGAGTGCAAGGTGGGCGATTGTGTGAGATGAAAGAAACTGCAGTCCAGCTGTGGAATTTTTTTTTCCCATTCATGGTTGTGTTCTGCAGTGGCATGCTCCCTGGCTATGTGTCTGGCTTCTATGAGTATGACGAGTGCCACATAGATCTGCGGCAACTAGCGGCATTCGCAGGCGCTCGGTTCCTCCATGCTGAAGCATCAGGGATCGATTTGGCGGTGAGCATAAAGACTGTGTGCTGGTGGGTTGGTGCTTTATTGTCACTGCTGTGGGTCTGGATCTCGTGGTTGAATTGGCATCTGTAAAGGGGTGCAATAACGTTTCAACATGTGAAGAACAGGAGGCATAAGTTGTGGCATAAGTTGATAACACCAGGATGTGAGCATTCTGCGAAGCTTGATGACACCCAGTTATGATACCGCTGCAGATGATGCTGGTACACTATCTTTGCTTCATGTACTGAACGACAGGCTGACATGCATTTAAATGCGTTCCTTGATCGTGGATATGAACCTGTGTCATGGACTCATGTGAACCAGGTTGTGATGAAAGGACACTGCCATGGATGTTTTGGGTGTTTTGCAAGTGCTAATGAGTGCACCTGTGGTCCTAACATTACCAGGCAGCTGAATGGATGGCATGGGCATGCACTTGTCTTCAGCCTTGCTTTCTATGCTGGTTGACAGTCTAGAAGGTTGATGCTTTCTGGCCGGCCTCATCTCCAATACGACGTGCTGTCTATCAACACTGGCATCACACCAGATCAAGAAAGTGTGCCTGGAGCTCGGGAGTACACCACAGCAGTAAAACCGGTCAACAGCTTCATTGATCGATTTCATCAAGTCCTGGCAAAGGTTCAGAGGGCGGGCAGAGCCCTCACAATAGCTGTTGTTGGTGGTGGGGCCGGAGGGGTGGAACTGGCACTTGCAGTCCGTCACAGACTGGAAGACATGAGAATACATGCAGGGAAGCCCAAAGAAGCTAGTGCCAAAATAAGGTACGAT